AGCACCGCCGAATTATGTAGCGCATGAATTGTGTAAGGATACGCGCGAAACTCTTTTGCCCGATGCGCTTTTCGCCTTCTTGACAGTAATGTTTATATGCGCGTAAACAAGACTCAGGAGAAGTTAATCAGTTTGCACATTATTGATTTTGTACAGTGGACATTAAATTAGTCAACCACCATTTGTTAAAGTTGTCGAGGTTGGCTTCGTTTGATTTCTTTTCGATCAGTTCAGGTAGAATCTTTCTTTGATTCCAAGATGGTACGATCATCACATGACTTCTTAAACACCTATAGCCTTGTTTGCTACAACATTATTGAAAGTTAAGTTTCTTACAAGAATATTAAAGGCTCAGTAGCAAGTCATGCAAAGGGTGAAGTTCGTCACAACCATAGTTATTTTTTGTGTTTTTTAATACAATGTTGCGTGAGATGTCTCTTTACGATTTTACGTTCTCACCCGAATCTTTCTGCGCCTATACCCCTTTAAAGGGCTATCGCCAATGCCAAATTTTGTATCGCAACAATTGCAACCGATGCAAAAAAGTGTGTACCATAATCATTCAGAAAATTATATATTAGTTTCATATATAATTAGAACGATACGTTCGGATAAAATTTTTTGATGCAAAATATAAACTCCTTGGGAAAAGAACAACTGATAGATAGTAGACTCAAAGCTGTCTTCTAATGCATAGCATAAGTGATAAACCACCCCTCCCTTCTAGTGGTGTCAATGTACAAGAATATGGTGTTTTAGGGTTGAGAATACAAAATGATGTTCATTGGATAGAACATGAGTTCGACGTATCGACAGACGCAGGGAGATAGGCTCTTAACGGCATACAGCGAAAGGCTCAGATGGTCATGAGTGAAGAAAATGTGTTCAAAACTCTCTTCTGTTGAGATAAAAAAGATTTATCCAGCAGAACTACATGGGTTTTTCACCGTTCCCACCCACCCGTCCTGAAGTTACCTGCCGCACAGCACGCTGTGAAAGAACTATGTTATGTCTCCTAAAGCGAAATAGTTATTAGTGTTACGGTCTAAAACCTAAAGATGCTAATTTACTTTCGGATGAAGAAGTCACACTTTCACTTAATACTTTATGGTATTGGTTACGAAAAAGCGAGAACTTATTTAAGAATCCAATAAAACCGTTTACGCCTTTGAGGAAAAAATTCTTCAACATCAGTAATATTCATTTCACTCTATATCGTGTTGTTACTATCATTCGGACTTGAAAATTATATCGTGTCCTAAAGCCATTCTTACAAAAGCACTCGACCGATGAGAAGGCATAAAACAATTACAATCATTAAGCAATAAAAATATATACATATATATTTTAAGCTAATACAACGTGGACAACGTTAATTAATACCACATATCAATACTAAAACATGAAGTGGTTGAATTGTATATACCTTGGGAAAACTTAGGCCTAACGATGGCTTTTTATCACTAGCGTAATGATGTAATGACTGCAGATCATGTAGAGCAAAAGAAAATTTTTAGGAGTAATATAGACATATATATACAGATATATATATATGTACACATCACAGTTATATGAAAGCATTAAAATTGCGCCATCAAATTAACGATCACCGGTTTAAGTTGTTAAATAAGCTAATATTAAAAAAAAAAAAAAACAACTAAGAAATTTATATTTGATCGGCAACGAATCCTTACTGACTTTTTCCGCGAAAATTTATATGGTGAACGTATTTGCTCTTTACGGGTAGCAAACAAAAACCACGGAAAGCAAAGCTTATGATACTTTTTGTTGCTTAGGCCTGTGGGCAATATAGGAGTGTCCCTTGATCGTGTTGGGTAATTTTCAGCTTTTTTGCGCAAATTTGTAGACGATATCCTTATTTTTGCGAACGGCCAAGTGTTTACCACAGATAGTAGACAGTTACACAGACGGATAGGTGGACAGAGGAGCAGATCAAATCTTGCTTACACGCATTTCGAATTTGAAATTGTCTAGCGACTTATACACACGGGAAGAAAATGAAATTATGACACACTATGACATTGGGATGATCTGGTGAATTTTTACTATTTTAGCACAGGTACTGTAGCGTGTTTTTAGATTTATCTATTCTAGTTCATGAGTACCGGACAAAAAAGAAATTTTCTATTCCTTTTAAAAAATGGTGTTCTCATTGTACGTGGCATTGCGGGCGCGTCTTTCGTCTGCTTAAGTCCATTTCCAATACCAACCTGCGAGTAAAAATTTTCAATGTTTCTGCCAAAGTTGAAGACGATAGCTTCATATTTGTGCCCAGGAGAATGTATACAACAGACATCACACAGGCGCGCAAATGGACAGATGGACAGATGTACATGCAATTTAGAATTTGACGCTAATCAAAAATATATTTATATTGTGGGGGTGTGTGAAGTTACCGTCTGCCTGTTGCAAACGTTTTGACAAAATGAATGTATCCCTCATCCGTTGGCGACGGGTATAAAACAAATGCAGTTATATAAAAAGCAAAACTAACCAAAAATGTCGCTGTGACAATTAGTTGAAAATAAATATAACGGAAAATAGTGTTGGTGGCATAACCACATAACATGAAATAGCTTGGTAGAGCCCACTTAAAGAAACAAGATAGAAAATGACAAAAAATAAATAAATAATAAAAAAAAGAAATAAAAAAAAGTCTTTGCTAAACTAAGTAAACGCTCTGGTGCATTCAATACCACCACCACAATAATTGTACACTTTTTCTTTCTGTTATTAGCTCCAGTTTCATTGCAATTACGATTTAAGTTAAAATTATAAAAACAAGATAGCAGAGTAAGAAAAAAGTAATTTTTCCATATAAATAAAATCATTAAGAAAATCATGTTATCCATGTATAGTGCGCTAAGCAAATGTGCTTTCAATGCTATTGATGACTGGTTCGGTGGGCATCAGTTAATAGAAACCGGCATAACCCCATTGTAACGTTTGATGTTTGTATGTGAGTAAATACCGAAGTGTGTAATTGAGTGAAGAAAAACATCTTTGACTTGGTGTGAAAAATTTTTAACTAATCATAGTTGAATAAGAGAATTTACAGCCAACTAGAGAGAAAATCTCGACGTGTATCGAATTAATTGAATTAATAATTGAAGAATCGAACACAAGACACTTGGAAAAAAATGTTTTGTTTGTTGACTTTCGAATCTTAACAATTAAAGAGTATGCGTAAACATGTTGAATATATTGGAACAAATTCTTCGGGGGAATAATAATTACCGGAATTTTAGGCCAGAAAGACCTTGTTTTCTGATCAGCGTGCCGATGGAGAAGAGGTTGTTTCTGAACTTTGCTTAAAAGGATAAATTTCGCACAACAATATTTTCAGATTCCATAAGTACGAATGAACGATTCAAAGGCAAAAGCGAGCATCTTCCCATTTTAAGAAACTGCCAAGAAGTAAGAAATTTTTACCTTCTGCACTACTCAACTGCTCAAGGTACTGCAATTCACGTTCACAATAACATGTTCCCGAGTAACCATAGATGAAATGTCTACCGTCAAGAAACACATCCTAGAAGTTTATGATAAGCCTTTGAAATATAGCAGAGCTCTCTACACTTTATGTGAATGTGAAATATAAGCGTTTAATTTTAGAATGTATAGACTCGAGTCGTATTAACTTATGGCTGCCCATTATGATGTCCACAAAGTGAATTGCTAAGGAAATTAGCCGTTATATATAATCAAACTTTGAAATCGAAGGTTATTTGCCAGAGAAAATACCAAATTCTTAATGAAAAAAGAATACACATACAACCGTGTTTTCTCGCATTTTCTAGTCTTAGCTTTCTATGACCTTCTTGTAGCAAAGGCTTAGGACGAGCATGGCAATGGCCATGTTAAAGTTTGCGTATGCATATGGTATTCAAACAAGGAGGATTGTTTAAGGATATTGAACGAAAATTTAAAAGAAAGTGCGGGCAAAGAAATTCTATCAAGTTAAGAAATCCTCAAGCATATGTTTCGCTTAACTCAAGAAAGGCTCTTGCATAGCTGCCTCAAACTGCCACACCCTCTTGCCCAATCGCCAGACATGAACGTCATCAAAAATATGTGGAATGAATTAGAGCGTCGTGTGCCAAATCACTCAATGCCTTCCGTCCAATATGTGAAAAGTGGACTACAAGAAGCATGTTTCCTATACAAGAAAAGTTATACGGAATATATCAAAACAATCAATTCAATAACTTTATTATTAAGCAATTAATTATTAAACCCCATAAAATATTAATTTTTAAAAAAAATGCTGTTTTTCTCTTCGCATCGTTCTTCATCTGAAAAGAAACCCAATATTAACGTTTTCTTAAAGTTTAAAAGGAAAAACCAACAAAGTTTAAAAATACATCTTTTAGAATCCTGGTTACGACACAAATGTTCCACTTTTTAAATAACCAAAAAATAGAACTTTAAAATCCTTGCATTCATTTTTTTTTTTATAGCAAACGTTGCTTATTATAAAAAAAAAAAACGTCAATAACGCTTTGTTGCGACTTTTGTAATTTTTTTTTCACAATTTAGTAAATAATGTCAATGAACTTGAAGTAGAAGATATTATTATGTAGTATAATGCACTCAAAGTTTTAGAAACAGTCGTGATAAGCAAAGAATATTTGATTCCTCAAAATTCTCTTTTGCATACCATAAGCGCAAGTGTAAACAATAAATTGTTTACGACTTTAATAAGCAGTTAACTAAAATCACCGCCACTACTACTACCAGTACTACTACTACACCAGTACCAGCACATAAGAAAATCCATGAGAGTAGTAAAATAAATAAACAAACTATGCACTGTGTATAAAGTATAAAGGAATGCGGACCACTTACAACGTGTATTTGCATATATCAGAGTAACAACATAGAAGCAAAGAGAATATATATGTATGTAAATTTGGAAAATAAAATCCATTCGCATGATAAAGTCAAATACACGGCTCTTAAATGCATGCAATACTTACTTGTAAAGCTTTTGCTTGTTCTCAGAAAAAAAAAAAAAAAAACCAAAAAAACAATATTTGTTATCCTTATGATAGTTTCTTTACAGAAAGAAAAAATTCTGGATATCTATGAGAGTCTTATAGAAAATATATAAAAGATGTTTACTTTTTGTTTTTATTTTATTCTAGTGTTTAGAATAACTTTTAGCACTGAGAGTCCTTTTTCAACGGCAACAGGATTTTCGAATCCAACCTGTTCACTGTTTCACTACTGTTACGGTTTCTTTAGTTCAAAATAAGAAGAAAAGCTGGAGAATCGATTGTGTTAAGCGTAAGTAGTAGTCGGTTAATGTTTTCGTGTTTTCAATTTCCATAAATATTCGGAAACGAGTTATCAAAATTTCAATTCGTTTAATTTATGCTTTAAAAACTTAATAATTCTATCTCTTTTTTTTTATTTTTTATTTTTATTTTTTTTATAAATGTTTTGAATTCCGGTCTCCGGTCCTTTTTTTAGTGTTATCGCTGTTGTTAAATTTTTGTAACTAAACGGCTGAACGAAATGAATGCAAAATTATAATAATTTTACCTTTGTTTTTGTCAAGCTATTGACGAAAGCTTTTGTTCAAAAGCTTCAAAAGCTTTCAACTTAATGTTAGTTAACATTTCATTTTAGTCGAGATGTTTGAAGCTTGGTTAATTTACCTCACTGTGTGTTTGCTTTTATATCTGTTAGAATAAATCTCTTGTGGCTTACGCCGGTATTTGCTAACTTTTGACTTGAGACAAACCTATTACATGCGTAATATTTTAGCTTGAGAGAAACTTTTCGTTAAAATTAACATAACAATGAAATAGGATTTGTAAAGAAAATTTTCTTGAAAAATGACATAAAAACCTAACAACAATTTCAATACAAAATAAAATATTCATCGTCTTCTGTTCTATAGGCATAGCAATGTACATGTAGGCAGTAATACGATCCGTCTTACCAATATAATGGACTATCATACAAATCGTCTACGTATAATTCTGGATGGCTACACCCTCTACAGATCTTTCTTTAAACAATGCCATTACAGCACTACAGACAAATTAGTTATGAGTATAATTATAAGGTTAATACAAGGGCCTTTAACGAAAGAAAGTTGAAACTAACAAAAAAAAAAAACAAATAAATAAAAACAATAGAAAAGCCCTTTATACACATTTACCGCCTTTTTCGTAGAAAGGACTTAAAAAAATAAGATTAAATTAAATTTTTATATTGGGTGGGGTTGCGATTGATTTTTTTCATTTTGTAGGATACGTGAAAATTTTATTCGTGTGTCCTTTGTAGTATACGTGCAATGAGGAAAAAAACTGAGAAAGGCGAGTTGCTCTCCGTTCATGTTGCTGACGTGTTCTTCGGCTGGTTCGGCCCGTTTTCAACTTCAATTTCCATACATAAGACTGCCAAGCTTTCTACCAAATTTAAAGCCGATAGCTTCGATTTTGCGACCAGGAAAATGCGTCCCACCGATTTTACATAGAAGGATAGATGGCCGGATTTGAACCAACTCAAAATTTGGTATTAAGCTAGAACATACAATCTTTATGGGATATCTGGACCTACGTTCAGATTATTTGTTGCACTTACCGGAACAATTACTCTCAGATGACTGTGAATCGACTTGGGATAAAGAGTTACAATATACTTTTCTTTCCAGCAAACTTTAAGCCAAATATTTTTAGCTTCTTTGTGGAACAAAGTTAAAAAATTCGAATCGCCCTGAGGCAAGCCTCAGTACGATATTTATCCAGCTTTTTGGCTCGATCTGCTTTTATTCACATAAAGTAAATAAATAAAAAAAAAAACTTTTTTGTGTTTCTTTTTTTCAAAACTTCCTCTTCTTAGTAATATAAGACCCATCTTCTATTTGCCGGTTTTTATTAATTTATAAGCATTTAGTTGCGCCATATCATGATCAGCTGTTCTCTCAAGAGAAAATATTAAATTATTTAGGAAAAGGTGTAAAAAATTTAATTTTTTTAGTTTTCAAGACCGCCTGGTAATTATACATCAACCCAATCGTTATTAGAATTATTTTGTAGAGATTCCGTATCCTAACTCCTCTGGTGTTCTCCCCTTGCTAATGTTTTTATTTCTATATTAAAGGTGATATGGGTATCGACGAATGGAACAATTTAAACACCAACGATATGTTAATAACGAAACAAGTAAAGAAACCAACATTTTTAACCGATACTGGATGTATGGAACAATTGCATGGTGTAGGAAATCTTAGCTCGATGGAACAAATGATTTTGGAAAACAAAGAAAATTTTGATCCTCAAGCTATAAAATCTACAATAATGTAGAGAAAATATTTACAAAATTTTTTGCAAGATGGGAAAGCCACCATAAGTTTGTTTACCTTGTGGTGGTTGCAAACGTGTTCATAAAAGAATCAAATTTCAATATTCTATAATATCGAGGACGTGGGCGCGGGTAATTGCTTCCGTTTTTGTACGGATGCTTTATCATCACCCGTAACTGCAAATTTTTATAATTATATCTGTTGTTGTGGTTTGTAAGTATGAAGCGAGAGATCAGATTTGATCCAATTTCAATATCAACCAGTGTGCAAGAACTTGCAATGTTTTTGACAAACTTGAAGCAGATAGCTTCCTCTTTGCGACCATCACATGACAAAGGCAGACAGGCCGACAGGCAAACGGATAGATGGACATGCTGACATCGGATTGGACCTTTGCTACCCTAGAATATATATACTTTGTAATGTCTCTGAAGCTTCCTTCTGGGGTTGCAAACATTTTGAGGAAGTGCATACGATCCTTCCTTTCAATTTTAAGCTACTTTATAAAAGATTTCAATAAGACTCTCTTTGAATAATTCTTTCAATGTTCAAATTTATTGTTATTAATCTTATTGTTGCAATTGATTGGCCTCGAAGAAAAGCCACCTTGCATTAAAACAAGATGACCACAAGCAGCTAAGATTATCGGCTCTATTTCCAGATTTGTTTTGAAAATATTCAGAATGATTTTCTCCTAAAGATTTATTAAATTAAAACTAACCTCTCCCTATATAAGTCGAGGATCGGTCTCTTTCAAAAAGCAACGATTTTTAGTAATAAAACTTTTTAAAAAAAGAACAATTTTTTCAAAGTCACACATACATATTAAATTTATCATTCTGCGTGTGTTGGAATAAAAGCACTACGAAAGCCGAAAATAGTGACAACTAATTGTTGAAAGAAAAAAAATGATATGAACATGCCTACGCAAATGAATTAAAAATTCTTATATAATTGAAATTATTTATGATCAGAAGACAATTACAGCAATTTTGCTTCATTGTGAAAATTGAAAATAAGTCATTTATCTTGCCGTTGTTGTTGCTCTTGCCAATTATTCCAAATAAGGTAAAATTAAATTTAAATAAATTCAATGCAGACTATATCGCGATCAATAGCGCAATTGATGTTTTAATAAAATAAAAACAATGAAATAAAAAACTTGCACAATTTCAGGGAAAAAGGCTAAAAAAGCGAACAGAAAGAGCAAAAGGAAAAAATCAAAAAATTAAATTGGAAACTTTATGAGGTCAGACAGATTGATGTTTGTCCTTAGTAAACATTTTTCAAGGTTCACCAATGGAGATATGCAAAAATTTTCATACCATTTGCAGCGGAAATAACTGACTTCGACTGTCCAATTCTAAGCGCCTTTACATAATCAATCCCTTTAGCCACCTGCCTGCCTGTAGAAGTCGAAAAAGGTAAAATGGAATGCAGATACAATACAGTACGCTACAGCATGGATATTGTCCCTTATATTTATAATATATTTGCTTAAATATTTTCTTTAAACGAAGCAAATCGATTCTCTATGCCATTGCAAGTCCAACTTCGTCCTTTCAAGATCCTTTGCTGCCTAAGAAGAGACTATCTGTAGGGAGAATACACAATGAAAAAGAAAATAAGAGAGCAGTGGAACAAGTCGATGAAGCTGGTGATTAAGAAAAATGAAAGATATTGCCGCGAGAAGAACTAATAATAATGAGGGGATCATAATAAGGAGGGGAGTCATTTGCATAAATTGATGGGTTGAAGCCAATGACTACCGACCCAAGTGCCACTGCGCTGGAATATACATAGTATTGCTTACGATAATTGGAGACAAATGATATTTGAAAGTAAATAAGAAAACAACAAATATTGTTACGAAAAGAGATAATTTATCGCTCAATGTGAAAAAATGTGGTCTACAGAACGAATTATTTCAATATTTATCTTTCAAATTATTTCTAGTTGTATTAATAAGTAAATAACGATCTAGTATCGTATAAATGTAAATGTGTACAAGCGCCCGCCGATTAACACGGTTAGTTCGTGCTGTAGCGGGACCGTTTTAAGCGAACTTTTTCATTTTTTTATTTAAACCAAAGTATCATACGAAGTAAGATAGTTTGTCCGCATTACTAACCGAATGAGTTGGAACCGCGACTACCAAGTCAGCGTCCGCTTATTTAATTCTCGAGTACTTTAGAGTTCTCTCTGGTCGTAGCTGTAGTGAGTACTCAGTTTGTAAAAGCCTCAACTTTTACGGATAGGCTGCCGCCACTTCTTCCATATTTTTTTCTCTTTTTTCATTTCCTTTTGACCGTGACCTTGTTACACAAACAGGTCACTTTTCTCGCGTAAATAGTCATATTAAAAGAAAACAAAAACAATTGAAACGTAGACGTAACGCATGTCCAGAAAAATGTGTACTCTGTTGCATCGAAACGTTTTTCACGTTGTATCGTGACAAGATACCTTGATATATAATATAAATCATTTGAATGTGTACTGTGTTGTGCGTCGAAACCAAGTACCAAGGTGAAATATTTTATGATGAAATTGTTGCAATGGAATGTTGTTCCAAATGCACCTGTAAATGGAAATTAACTTCAAGTGTTCATGGAAGAAGAATATGAAGGTCAATATTGTGATGAAATACAACAATAAAAAATTTATTCAAAAGATAACGGTGACTATCAGAAAATTAATTTTCATCAAAAGTTACAGCTAATCCCATTTTTTTTCTTAAAGTTGGTTCAATCTCCTCTCTTTTATTTACCATAAGATGAAAATAAAAGCAAAACTCAATCAAAATCAACATATATTCGATTTCTTGAAATCAAGTCATATGGAAACCGTGGTGTAAAAAAATGTTTTTTTTTTTCACTACAATCGCTTTCACACATTTGTATAAAGAAACATGACACGGCATGTGCTCTTTGCCATTCATGCAATACTGCACTCTAATACCGTGAATTGCACAGAGAAAACATAAGCAATTTTTGATCATGATGAGATTGTAATCTAACTACAGCTGGAATATATAAAATTGTAAAATATGACATATATAGGGGGTTTTGTTCTCATCGGTCCACTCCAATATTTGCAATGCTTAGATTTCTTTTTGCTTCCTGAATAAGTGAT